AGCTCTGCCTTTTAAATCATATAAATACTTTTCTAAAGTCTGTCCTCATAACTTAATCCCAATGGCAGGCAACGGCGCAGATATCGTACCAATATCAGTGAATTGCAAGAAGAAAATTAGCAGGGACTTTAATTAGTCATTTAAAATATTTTTGGGCATAAGGGAAGCACTTTGGTAAAACTATCTCTAATTCCACATTCGTGCTTTTGTTATATAGGTTCACTGTAGGGCAGGACTTGACTATTGTTCCCTGGACTAATGGAAATTGGGGCAACAGTGTGGATGAATTTATACAGATTTTTAAAGTAACAAGTTGTTTTGTACTAAGGAAATGAAAATAACTTAATTATCAATGAGCTAAAATGGCATTCTCAAGTCTCCTAAATTATTCCCATTCCCAATTATTCAGTCATATAATTGTAACACAACAGATAATTAGCCAAATCTCATATTTATCAGTATCCCAGTGACATTGATGGTGAATATCTACCAATATTGGTGGATCCCTAATACATTATAAACAGGGACCACTGAGGCTTCCCAGAGGTGCAGTTTGGCTAAAATATGTAATTCCACATCTGTACAGGTGTTGTTGTGCTAAGTTTACTGTTGGGGATTGATTCCTGAACTTGTGGAAAAAAATGGTCTCAATTACTCAGAGAACCATGTTAATACTGTAACCATATGATATTTAAAATGAACGTATCCATGATACATCTGCAAATAATTAAAGCATGATTAAGAGAAGCTGTGACCTTGGTGACCTGGGACACCGCACACGCCGTCTCTAACCAATCAGAAATGTTCAGGATGCCCATACAGACGGTTGATTGTCTCCATGTATACTCCTTGTATTTCATTGTGTCTTTTTATGAGAAATAACCCATTCTCAATATTCTTGTTAATGTTATTACCAATGCTCCTGATAATACAGTTAACTGCCCTCTTATGCTACACTCTTCATACTGTATGCACAGTTACACCTCTTGCTCATCTGAACAGACTGTTTCTTCCCTTATGGAGAATAAAGTTCAAAACCTGTTTATGATGAAAGCACTACATTTTTTATTGGTATTTTATTAAAATCAACAGTACATATTATTAATGAACATTTATAATGAAAGTTACTTTTGGCTGCTCTTTTGTTACAGCATGTAGCTCCACGTGGTCAGTTTTATCCTAGATACCCAGGGTAAAGATCAGGGGGTATTTTTCTCAAAACTAATGAAGTTGAATTTTTGATTCAGGTTCAGGGAATCTGTGATTATGCCATCCCCACGTGGTTTGGAAATTGCAGTGGACTATGCTGCAAAGGCTTAAGCAATCATATGAAAAGGATTCACATGCTTAGAAGACTGTCTACACCAAGACCTACAACGTGATGTGTTTATTTTAGCTCCATTTGTAGAAAAACAATGCTTTTGCTAGGAAAGCATATACAAACTGCACATGGATTTTTATAGAGTGTACGTGTGTCTTACCAGAAGCAGTCCAAAGATTTCTGTCATAAAAATTATTTATCAAAACAATTAAAAAGAACAGATTATATTTCTGTAAACATAGCAAACCATACCAAAGCATGTAATTTAATGTTTTACACTACTTCTTTCAGGCGTTTTAAGCTGTGTTTTAAGCTTTGGAATAGAAATGCTAAGAATTATAAGTCAATGCGCGTTTTTTCCCCAAACAGTTGCCTTTTGCACCTCCGGGCCACCGTATGATGTTTATTTTAAACAATGTAG